GGGCTGTCCTTTTTGGCAGCTGTGAGCTATTGCATCAGTTCAGCTGTCAAGTCTTAACTTCTTCAGCCTTTCTAGAGACTGCAGCTATAAGCTATATATCAAATGAGTTATTTATCTGCACTTTGTGAGGAACTATTCCCTTACAGTGTACCAGATGAGCAACAGCTGCTTAAAAATGCACCAGGTAATAATACCTCTACTCACAAGATCAAGTAAGCCAGTCAACACAAGCAGGGTTTGGAAAGAGGGGACCTTTTCAGAAAGGGATGTTTCTTTTGTTGGTATACCCACACAGATACTGGTCCAGAATGTCCCCATTAGTTGTTACTAGCAACTTCTTTGTTATTTCTGCACTGTCTCATTTTTGTGTTTTAGGCACAACTGCACTTAAGTCTAGGCCATAACGTGAATTTTGAGGTTGATGGCAAGTTTGGACCAGTGTTGCTGGGTTCCAATTTTTGTTACTGCTTTTGTGTTTACTGGGCTTGAGTACATGTAGGCCTTCACAGCTGGTCAAGAGAGCACAGCAGTGTTCAGTTCGTGTTTTGTGGGTAGTGCTGTGAAGTGGTTAGTATTAAATATGAGAGCCGGTAAGGTTACAGGCAAAGAAAAATAATGTGGTCTGTACTGTCAGATATTGCTGAACAGAGGATATTACTTGGTGAGTCAGAGGCTTCAATACTGTGTTCTGTGTGTTGGGTGACTCTTGTTCCAAGATGCTCTGTACTGTTGAAAGATCAGTTAATAAAAGGTGCTTCAGCTAGGGTGACTCCAACATTATTCATGTTTAAAAATAAATAAATGAACACAAACAGCAGGGGCATTAGACAAGATGGAGCACATATTCTTCTATCCATTGCAGGAACTTGCTAGCATGAAAAGCAGTGTTTTGATGATCTAGATTAGCTAAATACAAGTCCATGGTTAGCCAGCAAATTAGTAGGCTTTTGATAGATTATATTTTTCACTTGTGGTTAAGCAGTCTCTTTCACAGCATCGTTGCTTATATTAATGTACATTGCTTATATTATTATAAGCCTGTACATAGTGGTTCCCAGTATGGATCAGGGTCCTGTTGTACCAGGTATCATAAAAACGGATAAGAGAAGTCAAGAACTTCAGTCTTGTGATTCTAGGCTACCTTTTCATGGTCCTGACAACCCCAACCTTGTGGTGAGTTTTCTACTGATACTAGGTGATATCTTTTTGAAGGGAAGAAGTCTGCTGGAGGGAAGTTAGTAGGCAGTTACTGCTTTTGGTTGGATGGAATTCAGTGCATGGACCTGTCTTCAGTCACATATTTAATGCTTCTTTGTGTGTGCGTGTTAGATATTCAGGTAGTTCAGTGTGGAGGACTGAGCCAGGTTTATTGCACCATTTTGAACAAATACTTCCAGACTTTCAGAATGAACTAGGAAGGGTTCCGACTCTTCAATCCAAAATCCATCAAATCTATTTAATAAAAAAATATGGTAGCTAGACAGTACTTTTGTGCAATTTTTCTCCTTCTGTCTCAAATTAAAATATTTGGAGCTGTGGTGTCTGTTCTTAAATCCCGACCCCCGCCAGTAATTTCATTCATATGTTATCCATAAATCTTGTCTGTTTTAAACATTCCAACTAATAGTTAGGCAAAACGTTTAGCATAATGATATGATTAACAAAGTCCATTTTTTTTTGGCAGCCTGGATGCTGTTTTTCTTAAGCAAGCATTGCAGTTTATCTTTGAAGTGGTAGTATTATAAATCTCCCAATCACCATTGCCCGATCTGTTTTAGCATTCATGTGCCTAATTTCTGTTTGTAATCTGATTACTGGCTTTTTTTGCTCCAGCTTGCAGCCTATTGCTATGCATTTACTGTACTCCCTGGGATGCGATAGCCTGACAGCTCCAGTCCTGTGCTATGAAGAATCTCTACACGATATTGCTAAGACAGGCCTAGCGCTGTGGCTGGTTGAGAATTAGCTGCTATTGTAGTTTCTCTTTGCTGAATCCTTTGTTTGTGCAACCATGTTCAGAAATCCTTGGATCTCCAGCTATTTGGGAAATGTTAAATACTCTGAAGAGCAAGGTAAGAGTTCCAAGTAGATAGAAGAAAATGCAGTTAATTTATGTGTGTTTAATCTCTCTTGTATATATGTATGCATGTGCAAATACTGTTTGACTAGATCTTCTGCAGCTACATTAGCTGCTTTAGCAATCAGTATTCAGTTAGTCACCTAGGCTGTTTCATTATTTCCTAAAGGACACTTTTGAAAGATCCGATTAGCTGGATCTTTTAATTAGCTTAGCTTGCAACCAACTTAGGGCCTTTAAATATACTAAGTAATACTGGAAGGATGCATCTACTTGTTTTTTTAAATTCAGCGTTTTTAATTTCCTATGTATTAAATTGTGGCTGGTGGTTTTATCTGATAGTTTGTACATAAGAGGGAGGGGGACTAGACTGAACAAATGGTTAAAGTTGTGAGCAAGTTTGATTTACACTTCAGTAAATACACTCTTAATTTTAAATACAAATATTTAATATTGTTTTAATGTGGTTATGAGCATGTTTAGAATTCTTTAGTGAAAGAAGGAACAAAATGCTGTTGCAGAGATTTTTCCTTCTGTGTATCAGGTACTGTGAGGGTGTTTTTTTTTTTCTTCTTTAAATTAACCATTGAATTAAGACTGTTGTTAAACTGATGTTTCTCTTGTGGGTATATTTATTTTCTTTTGAAGCAGAGTTGTTTTAGTTTTTCTCCTGTGTTTATATTTAATTTTAAGACTTCCATATTGTAGTAAGTAAGTTTTATTGGACTTTAAGCCTCCCACATTGGGTTTAATTTGAACAGGAGGAAATATGTAAAATATCAAAACGGTGTAAAAGAATATAATTTTCTGGTTGGGTTTTCTGTGCTGGGGTGGGGGGGGAGAGACTAGAGCAGCTTGCCCCTGTGAAATACCATGAAGTTTAGAGATGTTTTTAAGGCATTATAGATGTGGTGTATATGAATGTTACTGAATATGTTTAATGGGTAGCAAGCACCAGACCGGCTTGTGTGCCCCCTCTTAGCAGCCCTTCTCCCTCCCTTCTCCCAGCAAAGCAATGAAAGCTACTTTCTTCCCTTCTTATATTCCCTCTCCAGTTTTGGCTAGGGTAGGCAGAATTTCTCTGTGGTCTACTTGTGGTTTTCATGGTGGACAGCTGATTTAGTGCCAAAAACTGTAGGATGGGTTATATCCCGTTAGAACGGCTATAAATTTAAGGTATGCCTGGTTCTGATTAGCTAAGATGATGCTGAGCTGGGCTTTTTAAGTTACTGCGTACTCTTATCACAGTAATGTAAATCTGGCCTTTTTAGAGGATACTTATGGCACGGAGTATTCTTTTTAATGTTGCAGTGTAAAATACTATGATTTATATACCATTCATACTGTTTTTGTTATAATACTCTGTTTTGTTCTAACAAGATGTTTTCTTGTAATCTGTGTGCTTTATTCTCCATTTACTTGGAAAAAAAAAAGAATGTTAACAAAAACAGGAAAAAGTTGCCTGTTAAAGTTGAAGAATGCTATTAGCAAAGCTGCTTGAAATCTGCAGTGACTTGTAGCAGATGCCTAAAAAAATGCCTTGTTGCACATTTTAAGCCTCTGTATCAGGGTGTTAAAATGGTCTTTTTTCTTCTACTTTTTTTTTTAATGTGTTTACCTGGAGAGGTGTCAGAAAGAAGTGGAAAGGAGCAGGAGAGTGAAAAGTTTTGAAAGGCATAGACAAAGATACATTCTCTAAACTAAGACCCATGTTGTAAACTGTAAGTTTCATTAAACCGTTTCTGCAAAAATAAGAAACATCCTACCTAGATTTTAAAATATTTTGTATAAGCAGAAAATATTTTTTGCCATTTAATTCTTCTTTGAAATAGTTAAATCTCAGTTCTGAGGTAGAGTAAAACGGATATTGCTGCTTTTGAAATGTTCTGAATTCTAGGTTGTGTAATAGTCTGGTCTGTCTTTGAAATATACAATGAACATTATGTCAGTGACCAATTGCTTGTTAATTTAGGATCTTGGGGTAGTTGACTTAATACAGATGGGACAGGAGGCAGTTCTCCCATTGGGAGTAATTTATTAGTAGCTTCATGTGTTTTTCAGCAGCAATCACAGAGCAGGTGCTCCCCTGCTTCTTCAAGGTCTCTCAATAGCATCCTTGTTGAATGGAGGCAGCCGGTACTTGGAGCACTGGTCCCCCTTGCCACTGGTCATTGTTTAGACCCTGTATGATGCTCTGGACTGCAGAAATGAATAAGTTAAATCTGGGGGGAGAGAGGGGAGATTGCCCGTTGCTTGTTAGGGTTCACAAAGGTTTGGGAACTAGTGGCTTTCTAATCCGTATTTTTTGAATATAAGACTGCATCTGACGCAGTTTTGCTCTTGGTGTAAACATGTGTTCCTCTCTGAAAGTAAGCATATTCTGAGGCTAGTCAGAAAAAAAAGAGAGCTTCCAAATTGTAGACAACATTCGTAAATATTTCTGTCGTGGGCGGTGTAATGCTGTTGTTGCAACAGATCCTCAGCTGGCTATCTCCGGCTTCTACAGTGAATATGCAGTTTTTATAGTATTGCTAGGCTGCAGCCAAAAAGGCTTTTGCTGCTTACAGCATTTATCGTTTGCAGAGTGCTTCATAAGCATGTCTACTGCCTATTTTACAAGCTGGGAAACTGAGTCAAGGAATTTAAATTATAGTCCCAGGCTGTAGTGCTACACCATGAATACTGGGGTTAGAACATGGCAGTTCCATATGTTTACTCTCTATACTCATTTTTTGCAAGGCTGTGGTTTATCACCATCTTGGGCATGCCAGTTTATGCTCCTTTGACTAGAGGGAAGGCCTTTGTACAGTCTTTTCCAGGGGAAAAGGACTATGATTGGAGACTATAACCTAGTTTCATAAAAGTTCCATGTATTTTAAAGCATCTTCACTATGCTCTGTTTTTTTTCATTTCACAGATTTTGACAAAGGAAACTCAGTCAGATTTAAACGTTCACGATTGCTCCAAAGGAAGAGAGCATTAAGGTAAGGTCAAGTTTTTCTTGCCCAGTGAAGATGACTGATTGCACAATTTTGACTTGCAGTCATTGCTTGAGTCTACGTTTGTTCGTTTGTCAGTAAAAATGATTATTGGTCCTCTGACAGGACCAAGCTTTGGCATAAAGCAGATGCTCTGAATAGGTGTTGAAAACACCAACTGTCTCCTAAGTAGTGTGAAAATTTATGGCTGTCATTGCGAAGGGAAGAGTCCCAGTCTGAAGCCTCCTGCCACTGCAACACCCGTTTTTCCTTGCATGGCATGGACACTGTACAGACATTTCATGAATCAGCTTGGAAAACTGATCTGTCTGAAAAGAAGGTGGCTGAAGTGGGTGAATTAATTGTACAGCCATGCAGAGAGATTTGTCAGCACATGGGAGGGGGACACCGCAGAGATGAACGAAGAGGTGATGTTGCTGCTTCCTTGCAGGGCCATGCTGTCTCACGCCTGCAGTCTTAGGGCATGGTTCCACAATGCTGACTAAGGGGACACAGTTCACAGTTAAGCAAGGTGGCAGGTCACGTTCCCACTCTCTTCACATCCTTGCTCCGACTGCTTTTTGGTGTCCACCTTTGTTCTTGCTGGACTCATTCGTAATGGCACGGAGAGGAGGTCAGGGAGTTGGGAGCTGACTCTTGCCTCGGCAGCCAGCTGTTTTGTTGACTTGGCTGCACAGGAATCCACCAACCTTAGGCACCAAGGCTGGTGTTTGGAAGCATCTTTTCGGTCAATGCACACCACGTGGAGCGCACCTGATTCCCTGCCATGTTGTTTCTTAGGTACTGTAGAGAGATGGAGGGAACAGGTGTACAAGAAGCATTGTGTTAATGGAAGCCAGGCAGGCGAAAGTAGAAATTAGAGTCATAGAGAAGGATGTGACTGTAGAATGGACCTTTGACATAAGAGTCCAGGGAAGGAAATTCTCCTGGAGGGAGAGAAAAAGAAAAATGAATGACAAGCACCTCGCTGGCAGGTATACAAGTGGATTTTCATGCATGTGTTTCAATCAGAAAAATCTCAGTATATCCCATAGCTTTAATCCCGATGTCAGGGCAGTGTTACCAGTGGCATTTGGATCAAACTTCTGCTTGCTTTTGGGCATGTAACTAGGTTAGTGGGACAGCTATTTAGAAATTGTATGCTGCAGCTGCAGCAGCAGCAAATGAAGTTTTCAGCCTGGAATCCCTGATGTATAGAAGCAGCCCACGCTTACTTTGGAAGTCTCAAGAGCAGTGTAACTACTGAGACCGTCGAATACTATACTAATGCCACATTATACATTGTTCTTAAAGAAAAACTATAGAGGTTGTGAAATATTGTTGCCTGTGTTTTAATAGGAATCATGAATTCCTGAACACTGGAGAGTTCTGTGCAAAAATCCTGTTTCACAAATCCTGTACAAAAAAAATCTTGTGGGCCCTCATGCTGTTGATTGCATTTTATGAACCATAATCACAGGCTGTATTTCAGGCAAGTGAAGGAGAAGTTGTTCCTCTTTCAGTATACAGATTTAACAGGAACTTTAAAAGAATTCTTGCGAACATCTAAAGCTTTGTTTTGTTTTAATTTAGAGAAGCCCAAGTATACCTTAAATTATTTTAATATTGAATGTGCATAGCCTAGGTGTTAAGTGCAGAAACTCCTGGTGCTGATCCTTGGAATCCACGCCTAAATTTTTAGCATGACTTGAGAATTTAAGAAAAGCAAAGGTGAGTAGATATAGTTGTGATACTTCTAGAACAGGGTTGTGGATGAGTTTGAAGGTACAATATACTTGGCAAGTCTGACTGTCTAACTCTGCTTAGGAAACTAAATGGATGCTGCAACTGCTCCTTTAGCAGAGAAACTAATAAAGCAGAGAGGATATCTGGATAGATCCCTCTGAGGAAAAAGGGAAGTCTTGGTGAGGAATTACTTATGAGCATATTTTTTTAAAACCCTTATGAGTAGTGTCCTTTAATTTTTTTTTTAAAACTATTTGCAATTTCTTTAACATCATTCTGACTCAATTTGGATTCCTAATGAATGTTCTTATTGAATACTGTGACATGTCCTAAATATGCCTACTTTTCATTTTTAGAGCTAATTTCATATATGCATCTATAAATACCCAATTGTTTGGCTTGGCTGTATCATCTTCAGAGCAGTGCTTTGTCTCCAGATTCTCTGTGCAAGTGAAAGCAACGTAATTGATACATCAGTTTAAAACATTTTGTTTCTTATGTGCAAATATTTAAAACAAGCAATGCTACCTGCAGCTTTTTGAGAGAGAGCAAAAAGCTCTGAAGAGGAAAAACTCCTCCATTGTGGATAAAATAGTTAGTATATAAAAATAGTTAATAATTTAAACTAGTTAATAATTTAAAAATAAACAAATAAATAGAAGTTGACAGTCTGTCCAGAGAGAAATGGAAAATGAGGGTATAAGGGAAACTGTGAAGTGACTTTCACAAAGCGTATAACCTGTGATGCCATGTAGCCTAGCAAGGGTTAAGCTTAAGAAGTTTGTGGTTATTAAAAGAAATGTAATGAAATCTGCCAGTGAGCAAAGGTTGGAAGCCACCCTCCATACAAAGGAGGAGGGAGCTCACATACAGGAAGAACTGGATGACCTTGAGGAATAATAGAAAAGGGATGTAATGTAATAATACTAAGTGCACAGTTGTGCATTGGGGGCTGATAAATTTTTCTGTCACTTGCAACTGATGAAAGCAAAGCCTTGGAGTATTAGTTTCTCATGTGGGATTGAGCAACCAATGTAGTGTAGATGTAAAAAGGCAAATGTGTTGTAGATCCTGGCATTCATTTGGCTGGTCATAAAATACTGATTTCTCTATTAAAATTCCTGTTTTTACAAGACAGTGATAAGACTCAGGTCTGGAATCAAAACTGTGGAATTATGGTCACAATATACAAAAAACATGACTTAAAACTGGAATAGGTAGAGAATGTTTTCACAGATAATCAATGAAACTTAGAGCCTGTCTTGAGGAAGCTGAGTAAATGTGGAAAACTTCTGTTAAGAAAAAGAAGTAAGGTAACCAACAACACTGGCACAAGAACAAATGGATGGAAACCCAATGAAAGACACCTAGACTGGGTTTAGAGGGTCTCTCACTCCACAGTCCCTGGAACTCCCTGGAGTTTGGCATAAGGGGCAGGAGTGGACCTGACTAGTTTACAGGATTTAAAAGTTTGTTGAGAATCCAAAAGCAATACAATAATACAATTTGTTTTAGAACCAGCGGGCTAGTGCCAGTCCTGATTCTGTATGATTTTACACTTGGAAATCTGTTAGTACACAGTTAATTTAAATAAGGAATTTTGATGTATGAGCGAATGCTTTTCTGTACAGAGTCATGTATGGAAACTTAAGGTGCTGCACTGTCACAAGCATTATGGATGCAATTGGAGATGCTGCTAAATAGAACCCAGGTATTTGGAAGTCATGAGCTGAGCCCCTCAGCACTTTTGAGACAAGTCTTAATTAATCAAATTGATTTGACAAAATACATTTGGTTAGGATTTATAGCCTTAGGCTAATATTATTCGCATTTTTCAAACTCATCCTCAGCCAAAAGGAGTAGAAACTGCTTTCAAATGGAAACCGGGAGTCTCTCCACATGGGGGTTCTCCAGAAGCTGTGTCCATAAGAAAATAATATATTGTGAGGCTAAGAAGAAACACAAGTGTTTGCAATGTGCAGTTAGGCATATAGAAACATGTAGTTAACTGTCTGAGTATCTGACCAGTCTCAGATGACACAAGCACCCATTTGCTTGTGGCTACTGTGTGCTATTTTTTTAATTTTGTTTTTTTGTTTAGTTCCATTAAACTGTTTTCGCCCTGTAAGGATACACAATTTTCTGTAACGGACAGCTTATTGTAGCTCTTCATCTTCTATTTGCTGTGTTCTGTAGTGGCGAACATTGCTTTTCTTGGCAGTGCCTGGAATAATTTCTGTAAGTGCAGTTGTTGGAGACAATTTGCAGCAGGTGGCATGGTGCCTGAATATGACACAGCCCAGTTTCTTTATTGTCATTTCGAGGGTTTTATCCTCTCCTCAATGTCTTCTTACAACTGAATATTATTTATAAATGATAAAGAAGCAAATACTTCATGGAATTCAGCAAAATGTTACTAGTCGTTATATGTTAAATTTCTTTTCAATGAGAAATGTTCTTCTGGAATAGCGAGTATTACACCTGTCTACACAGTTTACTAAAGGTTTTGAGACTAGTAGAAGTTTTCTTGTGCCTGGTTGGGATAGTTTAGAAGTCATAGTGGCAGAATACAGCAGTTCTCTCTCTATTTTTAAGAACTGGAGAGAAAAATGTCACTTTGTTTACCTACAAGGAAGAACACTTCCTCGAAAAAGTCTCTGTAGACAGTTAGTGTCTACTTTAGACCATTATAACACCTGTATTTTACAGTTAAAATTTGTGTATTTAATGAACATATTTAAAGAAACATTTGTCTCATATAAATGGGCATTTTTTCTGTTTTGAAAAGAGAAGGTATAAAGATAAATGGTCTGCTGCTCCTATTAGTGTATTAGAAACCAGATGAGGTCCAGAGATCAGTGCAGTAACAACAGGGTGGTCATGCAGAAGGCTTCTAGGTGGAGCCTACATATAGTACTGCATTTGATGAAATATGTTTTAATGTTTCTGGAGAATCATTTGATACAGATCAAAAGTAATTGCTAGTAGAGCATTTTGAAGGCAGTCTCTGGTCAGTAATTTAATGTAAAAACGTGTCACAATCAGTTCCAAACAAGTTTCAAATTATGTTAGGCTTGGCTTTGTGAGTTTCTTGGGATTATTTCTTATTTCATTCTTATGGAAAATATTTTCTTTGGTATCTCTGTTAGACTTTATTTGATTTGTAGCAGAAACAGCCACAGTTCTGTAAACCAGATGTTGCTTTCAGTTTTCAGAAGGAGTTCTCATCTGAAGATAAAGAAGAACTTGCAAACAGCACAAAGGATATTGATGCTAATCTATTAGCAGTACTTCCAAAAGGTAGGTAAGGGAGACACATTATGAACACCAGTGGTAATTTAACAATATGTGAAGTTTAGTCTATGCAAGTGCAAGGCACAGTTAAAACTACTTAGGCACAGATGATTTGTAACTGAGTTTTGTTTTCCCTGTGAAGTATGCATTGGGGATGAACCACAATGCTCTTTTACAAGGCCTGGTTACATCCCTGCTTCGTAAAGTTCAGCTTTGTTTACCGAGTTTTCAACGAGTTAAAAAGTAGTTGAAATTCAAAACTTAAGAGAGGTTTCTTTGTCCAGTTAGATTAATACTGAATTCAAAGATATTAACTTGGTTTGTAGTCATAGCTCTTTGCAGTCCCCTTTGGGGGTTGGTAGAATCACTGTGCTTGCATGACCAGCTGAGTACACACTGAATTGTAGTCTTGCATGCTAAAAGACCTGCACTACACGTGGGTTTTGGGATTTTTTTTTTTTAACTTCTGTTGTAGTCTGAATAACTTATGAAGAAAACAGCAGTTTCATCTTATCTTTTGACACAGTTGAGTTATAGGCAAGAATTAATTCTCTTTATTTATTTAGAGGAAATCAATCTGCTTGGCAATAGTTCTTGACCAGTAAAGGGTGACATTTGACTGAAGAACTAAGTGTAACTGGCATAAAGATGTTTCCTTCACTCAGGGATGTTGTGGCTCTCAGAACTTCAATTAAAATTGTCTGTGTTCTAATGTTGTTTTTACCCTTTTCAGAGAAACTGCAAGGTTAGATGCACTAATCCTAACACAAAGGAACTGGTTTGCTCTTTTAATGTCATTTGTTGCAGAGTTCCTTTAGAAAAGAACCCTTCTTCCAGTATAACATTTAAGTAATATGTAAGTGATGTGCTTGCTTTTATAAGATGGTCAGAAAGAGACTTCATTGACACAGTGGTGGCACAGAGTGATATGCATTTATACAATACAGACTTCCTGGGAGCACTAATCAGCGAGAATACATAGTCCCTCATTATTCCATATGCTTAGCCTTACAATCATGCTGTCCGACAAGATCATTGGGAGAGCCTTCACTTGAGAAACCTTCTCTCTATGTTGATTCTCAGTGAAATAATTTCTATTCCAAGATGTCTCTATTTCCTAAGTAATTATTCTTGTAATATAGGCATCAAATTTTGTGTGTACTAGACTTAATAGCAGTGGGAGCTGATGGTTGCATTCTGAGGGAACTACTTGAGGCCAAACACATTCTGAAAATCCAAGTTATTTCTTCCATCTAGGGCTGAACTTTGATCCAGCTTTGCACATGTTGGAAAGTCAGAGAAATATATTTAATTTTCAACTGATACAGACTGAACTGATGTTCTAAGAGTCTAGCTGAAGTCTCACACATTGCTGCCTGCAGTTAAGCATTGAACATGTTAGTATGCCTCCGCTAGCATAAACAGAAGATAAATGCTTCTCCAGCCTGGTCCGTAGACAATCGTTTTGCCAGGTGAGGAGAGGAGGAAGTAAGAACAAGGCTGGTAGGCTTTAATATTGTGTTAAATTTTCCTCAAAATGAAAATGTGTATAGATGTGTTGCAGTGGTTATTTGCCATTTCTGAGAAGTTAAGCTTCTTGCAGGTAAACTTTTGATCCGCATCTATTCAGGCTTCATAAATGTGTGTGCTCACTCTCTACTAGGGACTTCTGGAAGGCTAGATTTACATTTTACAGCTTCTGTACTTTAAAAATAAAACTGCTGTCACATGCCTGGAACATTATCCACATGTATCCACTCTGCTATTATCAAAGAGGGCTTTCAGCAAAAACATATTTGTATTCTATAACAAGTGTTTCTGAAAGATTTCTGAATTCTGTAAGAAATCTTTCAACTTAATTTAAGGAGTCTTAAAAACGTTTTTATAAGGTGCACTCCAAATGAACTTTTTGGTTTTTATTCTGGGATGAGACATGCAACAGTACTGCTTTTGCTAACTACTGGTATTATAAGGTAAATTCTGCTCAGCAGGTCTACCGTTACCAGAATTAAAACGCCTCTTCACAGTGTACCTTAGAGGGTGTCCTACCATAGCATCCTGCTCAACATCCTAAAATAATGCCTGAAGTTCAGAGCTGAACTGTGGCTGTTGTTCTGTTGCCCTCATCTGTGCTGACCAACAGGACTTACAAAGTGTGTTGGCATGAAGTAACTTCAATAAGGAGCTTTTAATGTTAAATTAATTATTTTAAGCTTCTTAGTATTTTCTTGTGTACTGATTCAGATCTTTCTGGTACCTTTTAGGTAGAGGTTTTGTTATTCTTTCACAGTGTCATGGTGTAGTTTCTGATGGTGATGTGGAAAAACATCCCGTGAACAGACGGGAAGTTGACAACAACATTCTCAAATTGCAAGCTTAAGAAGAGAAACCCAATCACCTAAGCTTGCAAGGGCCAACCAGTGTCCTTGGGAGTGAAATTTCTCCAACTGGCTTTCATGTTTTTATGTCAAATATTTTATTCAGCAAAAAGAAATCACTGGAGTAGACGACTTCCTGTGTTTCATCCTGTTTTTGGCTTTTTTGTGCTTCTTTTCCCCGCCTCCCTAGAGGAAGAATATTGCTGAAACTGCTTTCACAAAAAAGCTCTGCAGATGTTGGCCAACCTAGCTGAAATTACTGTCTGGAATCTCGAGTGTGGAAAAAGTGTAAGGCATCATGGCGTAGTCCCGTGCTATTTTTGTCCCATCTTGTTTGGGAAGGTGTTGGAGAGATGCTTCATGAGGCCAGTGCTCTTTTTAGGACTGCAAAGCAGTAGTAGAATCTCTGGAACTTCAGCTAACACGTAGCAAGAGGGTGTCGAGCTAATGCTGCTGGGAGTTCTTTGGATGTTCCACATTTTTTGTATGCGAATGACTTATAGTGAAGTTTCCTTTTTTTGGGGGGGGGGCGAACTTTATTATATGAAGCTATGCTTTAGAGCTTTACTAAAGCTATGTAAAAGACCTGTTCTCTGGTGATGGTTTTGGGAACTGTATAAATTGGTGACTAGGGAAGAAAAATGATCAGGATCTGGATGGAATGTGGTTTTATTAACTGTGAGCTGTGGAGGCCTTTGACCTGTCTGAAGTGGCAGAACAATTACGGGGTTTGTTTTGACCATTTAGTGTATGTATAGCCAACAGATGGAACAGAGAACCCCTAATAGCCAAAAGAACAAACTTAAACAGAAGTAGATTTGGCAGAGGTGAGAGCAAAGCATTTATGAGAAATCATTTCCTTTCATGTGAATGTGAGACGAAGGCTGGTTTCATATGGAAAAGTTCTCTGTTTAATACAGCTACGCTGCTAGCACAGCTTGAGTAGGCAGGGCAGCAGCAGCAACTGCTCATGCATTGAGAGAAAAGTCTCTGAAAACGTAATGGAAGGGCTCATCTTTGTTTTGGTGTTGGTTCAGGATGCATATTTTGCATTGCCCAAGTCCAGTTCCCATCAGTCTCCAGAGATCTGTGCCTGGAGCTTGCTGACTTTCAGTGGCTGTCTTGCACTGTCGACCTTGTCAACAGCATAGGCTTCAATCTGTTTTGATGCAGTTGCTGAAAGTGGGCATGGAAGAGGTTTCCCTTGGGTTAGCACTGTTAAATAGCTGCATACTTAGCTACTCTGTACTGCTGGTTGCATCAAATGTGAGCGTGTTAGGTTTTTTTCATGGTATGATTACAGTCTGAGCTAACTTGGTGTGAGAAATTGAAGTGGATAGCTGGAGTCTGCTTTCTGTAAAACTGTAGACTAAAGGAGTTGTTTTGGAGAGTGGCCCACTTGATTTCTTTCCCCTGTTAATCGCACATTCTCAGTAGTCACTCATCTGTAGCTTCACACGCTGTATTCATAACTCATTCGTTTGCTTCTTTGAGTAGCCGTGATCAGAATACATTAATTCTTGCTGGTCCAAGACATTTCACCTGGAGCCCTAGTGGCATTTCAGCACAGAAGGTTGATATCATGGCCAGCGTCAATATTATCTATCTATATCTATGAGGTATGAGCACCGGTATTGACTGCGGCAAACTTCCTGCATGTGTGTCAGCGAAGCTGATACCTTGACGTAGCTGTGCGTGTAGGCTCTTGCAGTAGAGGAAGGGGAGAGAAGGTGCATCTGACCTTTAAAAGGGTGGTGTTTCAACAATGTTTGCCTTCTAAGTATCTAGAGCGATGAAGTCTGATGGGGAGGGAAAAAGACGACAGATTTATTTCTGCAGTGGTGTGGAACTGTGTCTGCTAGAGAGTCCTGACTCATCAGGCACTTCTGATGGCAATCTAGGGCTGATTTAGCAGACTGTAGACTTCTGCCTGCTTTGACTTTTGATCCCTGGGTCAACAGGATCAGAACCCCAGAGGTGCATTGCATCAGAACAGGCACACACAGCTTTTAGCACCACATCTTTGCCAAAGCAATGGTGTGGGGAGAGTGGTAAGGAACACACTCACACGCAGCCCAGGTCCACTGCATCTTTTAACAGCCTGGATGGTTTCTCTTTCTAGTGGTAAGAAGTCACACCACACTTGTTTATGTAGCCCTCTTGCACGGTTTGCAAACATCACTGATAGTTCTGCACATATGTGCGTATACCTAGAAATTCATCTATCATGCCTCCTGTTGGTTCACTACTATTTTGTGAACTGTGACAGCTGTCTGCTACCATATAACACCACCAAACAGTTTACAGGGCGAGAAGGAAAGTACATCCCATTAAAACTGTAATGGAAAATTAGCAAAGTAGGAAGTGATTAACCATGCAGGAGTATCATGAAGGCACATGGTAATTTTCAGTCCAACCATGAGTCACTGGGATTCTTGGGATTAGCTTGATATAAGGGAGTGGAGGAACGTAAGGAATAGGGAATGCTGTTTCTCTTTAAACATACTCAATTCCCAACCTTTGTGTAGACAGGGTAAGCAGTAACTCCATACTACCTGGTTTTGAAATGGGTTACTGTAGCATGTAAGCTTGACCTCAGCTAATCAAAATACAAATCACCTAGTTTATACTAGATCTTGAAAACTGCTAGGATGGCATAGCAGATTCTAGCTTAGCCTAGAAGTACCTGGAGGGGAGGACTCCTTAGTGTTTACACCTGTGTGCCTAATGCACTTTTGATAATGCAAGCTTAATAAACTAGGAAAACAAGAGGAGAATGCCTGTTGCCCGACAAAGCTATTTCAAACCACTTTATTTCACTGTTGCTTCTTATTCTAAAGCATTTTAGCAAGTGTCTGAGTTTCTGAAACTTAGTAGCTTATAAACTGTATAATCTTTTGTTGTCTCAGTTTCAGAATTAAGAAAACTGTTTGAACCAAACAACCAAGATTTTTTGGAAATGAAAAGGTAAAAACAAAAAAAGTCTTTGGCCTGTAAAACAAAACACACAGCTTGTTTTGTTACCTCCTCTTAGCAACTCTCCCCTCAAATCTTCAAAGATGCCCAGTTTCACATTTTTCACATCTTTTTCAGAAAAGAGAGGATAGCTAGACGCTTAGAGGGAATTGAAAATGATACACAACCTATGCTTCTACAAAACTGTCCAGGATCAGTCACACATCGTTTACTAGAGGAAGATACACCAAGATATATGCGTGCAACTGATCCATACAGTCCCCACTTAGGTAAGTAGTATGTGTCAGTCAATCTTGCATTGCTGAATTACTTCATGTTTACTGCCCTGTCATTGGTGCAGTACATGAGGAAGAGTTTCATAGAAGAGCTGTGGTCAAGGTTTTTTAATTTGCTGTTTAATTCTCCAGTTGTCATATTTGAAAAAGGTTGATTATCCATATTGTTTTAAAACAACGATACTTTGATATGAGACTTTTAGAGAATTATAAGTAATACACCTTTCTTAATCATTTGTGTGTGCTTTTGGAGACATAAGTGCGAAAATGTAACGTGTCTGTGCAATCACTGGTACACTTTGATTTGTAAGAAAATGGGAAGCTTTTAGTTCACTCAGTGTGAATAGTGTGTAGGGTACTTGGAGTTTTGGGATGGACTTGCTCATATATGTTGTACCTTTGACAGGAAGATCAAATGAAGAGGAGGAAACTTCAGATTCTTCTGTAGAAAAACAACCCAGATCATCCAGATACCGATCAGAAATCACAGGAGGTAATACAGAGCCCTTGTATAGTACAGGAAACATGGATGTCCAGGAACTAGAGTCAAAAGCAGAAAGAATAGCTAGGTACAAGGCAGAGAGGCGGCGCCAGCTCGCAGAAAAATACGGATTATCTCTTGATTCTGATTTGGATTCTGACTACTCATCCAGATATACACGGGCAAGGAAAGATCCCGACAGCGTGGAGAGAAAGGGAGTGAAAAGTGAAAGGCAAGATGATGAAAACAAGGACTGTGGCACCCTGTATTTGTCCAGGACTGAGACGAAGGAGTCAAAGAGTATGATTTCTGAATCCAAAGAGTACTCCAGCCATGAAAAAGATGGAGTTCCAGATAAAGAAGGCCTCTCAAATGACAGGAGTGATAGAAAAGCAGATGATGACAGTGCCATTAGACAGGCTTCTGACCCTTCAGCAACCTTGGATAGTTCTGTCTCCCTTTCACGTTCTGGACGAGAATCTTCCTCCTATAACGAAGTGCCAATATCACCAAAGCAAACCCCCAGAGAGTCCCTTTCTTCACCAAAGCGGGCAGCCTCACCAATCCATTTGCAGAATGACCAGCCCTTGCACAGTAACATCAGACAAAGGTAAGCATGTTTATACATTTGTTTATACAGTATATTCCTTTATCTTCATCACCTTCTGCAGCAGTGTCTACAGTATTTGTGAGAATGTATTTATTACCCTTGAAGAATATATTTAATGGCTTTGGATGTCTTAGGCTGGATTGGTTGTGTTTCTTGAATCACAGTATGTTTCTGATACAAGGAAGTGGGTATCTATTGCTATGATTAGATATGTCCTTGGTTTCACTTCAGTTTTATAGAATTTATGCTAAAATTAGGCACTTTGCGGGGTGGGAGTGAAATAACTGATGTTTAAGATATTTAAGCAAACTAGAAATTGAAGCAGTTATGGTTATAAATCTGCTTTTTTTGTTTTTTCTTTTTTTCCCGTAACCTGTTAGAGCAAGCTTTAACTTTTTTCCCCGACGTCCTGTAATTGTTTGGAGCTGGGGGTTCCAAGTAAACGCAGGTTGCAGGTTGTTTCTCAGTGAAGATTTGAGTAACTTCATGACAACTTCTGCCAAAATAAAACAAGTCTCAGAGTTAAAAGCTGAAAAGTGTCTTGGGTCAGTTGAAGTGATTTGTTTTCCTGCTGTGAAAGTGTAAAAGCCCTTTTCAACTGTGGCAGTTAATCTTTCAGATAATATCGTGGTATGTATGTGAAGAGGCAGAGGGGACAGTTAAAATTCCATGCTGAATTTGGAAAATGTAGCCTCCCTCATGGTATGCTGAATTACTTCAGATTTGAGAAATTTACTCCAAAGACAGGGTAACTAGATTCTTCCAGAAGGAAAAAAAAAATAGTTTTCACTAATTTCACATTGTAGTTTCACACTGTAGTGTAAAACCAGACTGTCAAATTGTTATGGTGACTGAAAACAACACATGCCTAAGAATTTTTTAAAAATACAGTTTTCTTTGTGATGCTTTAATTTCTAGATAGGTGGATAGATGAAAACTAATAACGTAAAAACTTAAGTTAAAATGTTGCAGCTAAAAATTATGTAAATTGTAATGAGAACTTAATTGTAAACACATCTGCATCATGCTGAGCAGCACTGACTGTTTCTAAAAAACTGAAATGAACTGCCATAAGCTGAACCATTTACACTTTCTGGCATTTTTTGCAGTAGGTTCAGAAACAAGCTACCTTGACTGGACTTCTTTATCCTTCCCATCAAAATCACAAAACTTGATTCTTATTTTTTGTGGCCTTTCTTGTTAACTCTCATAAGCATACCTTAATGTTTGAATGAGGAAGCAATCTTCCATGTCAAAGGTTAACCACCTGGTGTATTGATGAAGTCAGCTATTTACAGTGCCTGTAAACTGCTCAGATGTAGTTGGCCTTCATTTTTGTTTCACTTTATTGCATAGGAAATACCAGTAGTAGTCTCTTAATATTTTTTTCATAGTTTTTCATTATTCAGGTGACTTCAAATCCTGCTCACTTTCTTTTGCATGGGTACGTGGCCACATGAGCTGTCATTGGACTCTCCCGATTTAAACCAGAATTTTAAAGGAATATTATAATTTCAAAAAAGCTATCAGAGGGAAAGTAAGTCAACACACTTAGGAAGTACTATCTTATATTTAGTTTATGTTTTAAGCTTATAATTCTGCTACAGCAGTAAGGAAAATAGTCATTGGAGGGTCATCTATGCAACTGAGACCAGAGTTGTACTGAAACTCCTTGAGCTGACTAGGTTATTCCAGGCTACAAAAAACTTGTCTCTGAAGCAGTCTCAACTCAAATACTACAAAATATTATCCTTTATCTTCAAATGGTCAATTTGAGATAAATCTCTTGACTAGTCCAGTTACTGATAGGAGGGGATGTTGGAGCAGCGGACCTTTGGCAGGTTGTTTTCTTTGTTTCCTAAGGTGAACGAAGGGACAAAGTTTTCAGCCTTAGGAAAACAAAGAGAACAGCCCATCAAACTTTACAGCCAATAATGTGTCTGCTGCAGTGTTAAAAGGGGCTTTATTTTCTTTACTCACATAAAGCAATCCTAGTCCCTATTTCCGTGAGGGGAAACCATCAAGCGCTGAACAGTGGAATGCCATCTAGGCTGGTGTCTCTTCCAACTTGGGCGAAGCTGCGCTGCACGCAGTATTGGTGGGATGGCGGTTGCCCTGGTTAAACAGCATGCTGGCTACAGAGAGACACCTGAATCCTCTCATTCACAGATTAGCCTTTAATGTGGAGAAGTCAGGTCTCCTTATAAAGCTCTTTCAGTTTTAGCTAACAGGTGTATTTTTTTTTCTAGCGCAGCCCTGTAAACCAGTTACAAGTTCAGACTGAGCAGGCTTTCAGGCATTATCAAATCATTCAAAAATTCCAGCTGTTTCTTTTTAAAGCTGCCACTTCTGGCATTACCTGCTTTTTGTAATAAAAGATGCTGCAAATTTGGGCAGAAGAGATATAATTAAGGAAGCAGTGTTTTTAGTGGGGGCATACTTTTTCATTTGTTAAAGGTTACATGTCCCTCTAGAAGATCTAATGCTGTATGAAACACTGAGGGATCAGCTGTGTTTGGCAAGCACTGGAGACAGGTCCCTTCTGCAAGGTCTTCCTTTTTTTGAGGCTCAGTTGTTCTCTGTTTCCAGATAATTAAATGGTAAGATGCATTGTTTGGGTGGGTTCTGATGTTAGGACTGTTCCAGAGTTTAAACTCCATCCCATTGTGATATGGTTGTTTTTACTTCTCTGCAGTAGTGACATAATAATAAATGAGAGACTGGGGCAAAAGCAGCTGGAATAAGTCATAACTTAATACAAACTGCTGACTGCATTATCACTAATTTCAGGTTCTTTCTGGACGAGGCTTGGGTCAGTACTTGTGTAAAAACAAGTTTCCCACAATTACTGTCTGTCTTATCTTTCGAAGCAAATCACCTACACTCAGCAAGATGTGGTGTAGCTCTTACAGCAGCCAAGAGTTTAAAGCTAGGATTTGGTCTCTTGTTTGGATACGTGTGTAGAAAGTAGGTGGTATTTTAAAGGCCAGGTTGCCAAGAGCCTGTTCTTAGTTTTAATACCTCTGACGACTTCCAGTGCCAGTGCGTACTAATCAGAGGTTTAAGAAACTCAGAAACTCTTGTCCCTGTTTCTGAGTAGTAAAGACGTCATTGCCTATTTACATGCAGTCTCTTTAAATTTAGTGTGTGGTAGCCTCCTATAAGGCCATTTGCACAAGCAAAATAAGGGCTAATGGCAGCTTTCTAGGTGGCTGCTGTTTTGAAGTCAGTTCTGTATTATACAGGGTGCAAAATTGGTTTGGTTAAATTTAAATTTGCGGAGTTCAAATGGGAAAATAAATGCAGCTTAGTTTGAAATACATATGAAAGCTTTGTGCCTTCGGTCCTAAGATGGTTTAATAATTAATCCTATTATCCATCACTGAGAAGACAACAAAGTGCTGAGAAGGTATCATTTAACATTATCTCCCATTCGCTGCTGGAGTGGCTGCTGAAGGCAAAATTCAAAACATAGCTTGCACTCTTCTGAATGCTCTCTGCAAAGGATGACTACAAGTAATTGCTGCTTGGGCCGTGCCTGCTGTAAAAATGTGCCAAAGTGCACAGTAAGAGACGAGGAGGAAGTTTGCTTGCTTCAAAGCAATTCCAGCTACTGGGTCAGCTCCTGTGAAAGGTTTTTACCTCCTATTTGGTCATTTCCTTCAGGAATTCAAAAACATTTGGAAAAACAAAAGATGCTTTAACAATCAATTTTTAACTTTGTTCTGAGCTTGATTTGGATAAGGTGACTACTGTAGGTGAGTTCTCAAATTTGCAGTACTTATTTGCAGCAAACTTATTTGCAGTAAATGCACTGTTATCTTAAGAACAGTTGTTGATTTGACCCTTTTCAACTATTTTTGTTAGAAGACCATCCAAGAAAAGTTGAAGTAGATGACCTGGAGCTTAATTTGGGATTTTCATCCCAAGTGACTCTACTGTAATGCAAGGAGTTCTTTCAGGTGTAGCTATAGGTAATGGAAAGCAGCCTGGCCGCTTGTCAGCTCCAAGGAGTTTGTAAATGTTAGTGTGGCCGGACAATCTACGCTTGCAAGGTTCAAAGTATTTGATGTGATCTACTGTTGTTGAGGGACTGTAGGTACAGGTGGGCATTAGAAAAGTATTTGAGAAACTGTACGTAGGTAGTCTGCAGACACCCTTTACTGTAAGCTTTTTAAAAGTTTGCAGTACTCTTTTCTTTTTTTATTTTCTTTTTATGCTTTCAACTTCGAAATAGAATAAAGTCAAGACAAGATCAAATTGGGGATTACTTTGTTTTTTAATCTTTTCCTTTCCCCTGTGACCCAACATGTTTTACTTGAGCTAACTGGGTTTGCATTTCTGAAGCTTCTGTGATACAGGGCTACAAGAGAAGAGAGGGGTTCCAGCTGCTCCTGAGAATTTCTTAGGAAGTATGATATAGCCATCTGAATTTGTAACTTCATTAAATTCATATCACTACTTCATTTTGGACCCAGCAGTCTTTACCACTTTAAACCACAAATTAAAGTAATGTTTTAGCAACTTTTTCAGACGTCCTTACATAAACCCTTCAAAGTGACATGCAATGGCAGATGTCAAAAATAAGACTGTGTAGTTGCTTTCACTTCTCAAATTCTGGACAATGTATACTTGGTAAAGTTACCTTTGCAGAACATCTAACATTGAAAACACTTTTTAGATGTTTGTGGAATTAATGTGATAGTTTGTATCACAGTTTATCATCTTTCAATTTGATTAATGTGCTGTGCTTTTGTTTTCGTGAACAGTCCTCTATAATTGAGTAATTAGAAAACAACAAAAAAAATGGTGGGGAGGAAGAATTGGGAGAAACAACAGGAGCATGTGTTGAGATCTCAAAAATTACCTGAAGTTCTGTCTTCTGTAGTAGTGCAGGGAAAGGAAAACCTGAATGGTTTCTCCAGAAAGATTCAGAAGGGGACACGCCTTCACTTATCAGCTGGCCCTCCAGGTATCATAAAATGTAGCTGTGTGGCTAACAATCAGACTGCAAACATCCCCTTTCTTTCCCTTTACTCTGTCTTCACTTAACACTTGCCTTTAATTTTCCTTTAACGGCAGCAAGTTAGAAAGTATTGTTTCTTGTGGATAAGCAGCTGTTGAAACTTTTCTGAAGCATCTGCTTTTATTGTAACTTACGACTGACTAGTATTTTGATGAAGAAGTAGAAATGCCTCTAGCTTCTTCCACAGCTACTGTCATTATGGCTTCCACTCATTTTTATAACTTATTATTTTATCCCGCTTTGTAGTCTGCAAACAAGCAGATTTTTATACCACGCACCAATCCATCTTAGCACTCCCTATGGCTAATTCCTTGAACTCCAAAAGAGATGGTACAAGAGAAGTAAAAAAAGTATAATGAAAAGTAAAGCAAGATCTTGATCAGAGCTACAAGCAGCTGCTTTCTCACAGTGTGGTATCACATACTTTAGCCCGCCATGAGAAGCATTGCAGAAGACTCTTTTCCACGTTCCTGATTAAAGTAATTCTTATAACCCAGTACTAACATCGTGTGGATGTTCTGGTGAATGCATGGTACGTGTAGTTTAAAGAATCAATTTTTCAGAATGAACACACTTTCTGCGCTTAAGTAACTGAGAAGTTTCCCTAATAAGTGCACCAGTCCTCAGAGATGAGGAACACCAAAATGTCAGAAAGCTTGGTGTTTCAGATAACTTTTGATATCCTGAATTATTTTCTCAGATATTCATTTGCCTTTTTTCCTAAATCCTGCCTCTTTTTAATAATGTAAACGCCAGAAAGTCTGTTGGTAGCAAGCCTGGAATTACACATACTTTGAGCTGGGTTACTTACCTTCAAATAACGAGCTGGTCTCCTATTGTACTTTAGTTTCTCTCCTTCTTCGGGATTAAAATAATTTTTTATACCTTTTTGGGAGGAGAGGACATACAGGGCTTTCACTTTTAATACTGTGTATGTGATGTCTACAAATGCTCGCCCTGTAAGCTGGTCTGAGCACTCAGTGTGGCTGTAAAACTGCTGGAGAGCTTACGTGCAGTTGTAGTCATAGAGCAAAGGCTGCCTCCGGCTGCATGTGCTTACCTTCCGTTAGGGGGGTTGCATTACATGTCTAAAGGTAGACTACAACCCCGTTTTGCATGGATGTTACACAAGTCTAGAGGTGTTTCTAGAAAATACACTGAAGTAAGGCAACTTTCGGGAACATTCCTGTAAGTTTTGCATGTTCGAATGTCATGAAAAGTTTTAAAACAGAATGCCTGTTTTGTTGGGGTTTGGTTTTGTTTTTTAATCCTTTTCTCTCCTACAAGCCCTCTGAAGAGCAACAGCCATGCCTGTAGTTTCACTTTGGGCTTTAAGACTTGCACTTTCAACATTTTTTTCTCACTTACTGAAACAGGTTACAATCCATGTAACATTTTAGATGTCTTGTATGATACACAAAAACACCTGGCAAAACACCTGAAGTGTTAGGTGGAGATAATGTGTTTTTTCATCTCTTTCCCCAATGCAACGGCATCTTGATGTGTTGTAAGCTGCCCGGTGTTTAGACATCTTCAAAAATCTGACTACGTGCATGATTGCCACTGAATTTGCAATTTCACACAGAACCCAACACTTTGATAATATAAAAAGCAGTTTTGATCATCTTGTTTGTTGGAGACTGTCGGTATGTGCTGTTGACAAATGCAGTTGTGACCTCATGGGAACATGCTGTACATTTTCAGAGCTTGCTCAGTTACCTTCTCAGGAGTCATGCATGTTCGAGGGCCTGTGAATCACTTGAATGCTTTTGAGTGAAGTTACTGCTAAGATTCGGGGGGAGGAAGGGGTTGCATCGTAAGATTGCTTGCTTTTATGTATTGGTTACTTTTTATTTTAATATGATGTTGCTGTCTGTACCCACAGTAGGTGTCTGTGTTGCTTCCCAGATTGGGTATTGCTGTTCACAGCTTTAATCCTTTTTCTTTCTTAAAGAGTAAAAGTTAGAGAGAAACTGGTGAAAGAGGAAAGTGCTCGTGGAAGCCCTGAACTTGTCACAGACACAGTATCTCAGAGAAAATCCCATCCAATGCCAGCCCACTACATGCCTCTTCAGACAGAAACATCTGCCTTTGATAGGGTTATAAATCAGCCCATCAGTTCAGTCCGCCAACCAATACATGGCTATGTTCAGCCTGCTGGCATTGCTCATGCAGCCCAGCTGATGGCAACAGAAGAACCAGCAAACATCTCCAGCAGCTGCCTCCTACCAAACAGTGTTACCCTCTTAACAAAACCTTCAGCAGCCCCTGCATCAGAGACTGAAAAGAAAGAGGCACTCGGTTTTGGAGCAAAGCCTGATGAAGAAGATTCTGTGGAGGGTGAACAGGCTTCCAAAGGCAGAAGACCGATTTTGCCATCTGAGATTCGCAAGCAAGGGAAGAACCATGAAGGCCTCTTTGGAGGAGGAGAATTGGATGCCCCCGTGGGGAGTGCCTCTTTCGCAAGCAAGCTGAGAGTTAACTCAGAAGTTCAGAGAGAGCTGGAGTGCAATAAGAGGCAGGCTCCTGAGCAGCAGTTCAAGACCCCCGAGAACATAGAAAGGAGTGAAGCTGTTATGTACATTCAGAGTGGGTCTGTATCGCAGCCTGCCAAGGCAAAAGCTCCTGTTCGGAAAGTGTCGACAGCAAAGCATAAAGTCCTGACTCGCTCAATGTCTGACTATACTGTGGCTCCCAAGCTAGAAGCCTTTAAAAGTAAGGAGAGCATGGAAGCAAACGCACCAAATGGTGAGATTGGCATGGTTGACACAAAAGTCTCTGTTGCCCAGCTCCGTAATGTCTTTCTGGAGACTGCTAATGCCAACAAGAAAACAGGACTGTAGGTGACACTTCAGACATATTTTTGTGTGAAACTTGCACGTCCTTGGCAAAAATTACACACACTCAACATCAGTTGTGTTCGGCACTTAAAGCACACAGCTTAGCTCTCACCAGTGTGTATTGGAGGCTGAGATGGTTTGAATTCTGCTTTTGTGCTTCTGCTTGCTAGTGCAAGTTGTGATGTGGGGTAGCTGGAATGTGTACGTCTGCGCATGTTACCGGAGGAGCATGCAGGGTGATCTCTAGTGAATTGTTGAGATGCTTACATCTATGCTTTACTTCTCTCTTCTATTTTCTTTTCTATGCGCTTTCTATCATGTGGTTTAAAAGTGAATCTCGGTTCGAGATGTCAACAGCAGGTAGCACTTTGTCTGCCAGTGGTGACCGTGAAAGAGGGCCACGAAGGCCGAGGCGCTATTTTTCTCCTGGTGAAAACAGAAAGACTTCTGAGAGGTTTAAAACTCAACCTATAACATCCGCAGAACGAAAGGAGACAGATAGGTAGGCATGTGTGTAGCTCTGTGTAGCGTTCTGGTGCAGACAGACGTAAACAAGCTTGTGAAGAGACTTTGTTCATTTATCAGGATAAACATTTTGCAAGTTTATTGTTCCTCTTTAAAAACAATCAACTATTTGTTATAGCTTCTTATAAAATAAAAACAAAAATACCACCGACAAAACCAGTTCATTGCAAATCCCCTCCATGTAAAATGGTGAATGGCGAATCATCACAAAGTATTATAGCTGCCTGGTTCTATCTAATGATAAATGTTTTTGTCTGGTTTTATATAGAGTTTCCTTTCCATCTACTCTACTTTATCATTTACTTTTTTTATAAACAACCAAAGCTACATATTTTGTGTTAAAAGAGCTGGCAGCAAATCTTAGACTTTTATCTTCTGTGAGATGAACTGGAAATCATTTTCCTGTACTGCATTTAGGTTTGGCTGCATTTGCTTGCCTTTCTGCTTTATTAAAGGATATGGAAGTGGAAACTGTTGAAACTTGAAAAATAGATAAAGCTTTCCCACTGTTAAGACTTTTGAGGTCCTGCTACTTCAGATGGAGTTTGAATTTAATTTTTGGTGTCTCGTTTCCAACTAATTTTGTCCTGTTTGATAATTTTTCACTAGGTCAATTTTGAGTGCAGAAATACCAACTGCTGAAGGTATGTTACTATACTCTTTTCTAAGGAAGAAATGGGAGCAAATGTTTTTCTTTTAACTGAAGAACTGTTTGATAATGCAAATAAAGTCTACTTGAAAATAACTATAATTACCTATAATATGTTTGAAGTACCACTTTTCCTTGGGTTGTGTCTACTACAGAATTAATTTCAAATTGATTTAATTTCAAAAGTGTCTCTATGGATGCTGAACTTGGCATGGCAGGCGAGGGGGAGAATGGCTTGGCACTTTTCAACATAGGGTGGGGTTTTTTTCTGATTTGGACAAGAAATTAGTTGGTGGTAAAAAAAAACATTTTAATCAGCGATCTAGGACTAAGAACTAAAAAAGCCTTTACTATAGTGTGAAATTAATATTGGTAATGTGTTTTCTAGCTCAGGGAGTTGCAAGCTGCTGGTTATTAAATTATATCATTCAGTCTGCCATCTTGCTTCTCTTTTCCTCTTGTCACTCTCAGCAAGTCTGGCACAAATTAAGTAGGTAATCTCATGAGTAGCTAAATTTAGATTTAATGCCTTATGCTATTTGAAAGCTGATATTCACTGCAGCTTTGAGATGCTGGCTATTGGATCTGGAGGATGGTGATTTTGAGTCTGAAGGATGCCAGCTGAGCCTCTGAAAAATGAGGACACGAGGTGGTAATCAGAATGACCAGCTTCCAGGAGAGACCATTTTGTGCGATCAACTAGTAGAAAATAGATGTTCTATACAGCAGGATGTATACTGACCCTTAAGACAGTCTTTCACTCTAATTATTTTCTTAGTCCATATGTTATAGACTAATATAAGAAGTTTGATTATTTATAAAAGGTTGTTTGATAACTTGAAAGTGCATGAACTGTCCTGGAGATAAGCCTTTTTTTCTCAAATCCTGTTAAGAAATTTCCTCTGATTCAGTGCATGTAAATACAAGTGAAGTTTACCCAATTTGGTTCATGAGAAGTCTTTTGTTAACAAGCAGCGTATTTGCTGGTGGTGCTTCTTGTCTTAGTAAAACCTAATTTTTGAGGAGTTCAGGAATCATGTAGTCAAAAAAACTTCATACAAGCTGGATTCGTTATATTCAGCCTCCATTTTTTTTTTCCCGTTGCTTAGATGAAGAAAAATTGGACGACCGAGCCAAACTAAGCGTAGCTGCAAAGAGGCTGCTTTTTAGAGTAAGTATTGCATTTTTCTTAATAGAAGGCTGAGTTAAACATTTCATATACCAGATGCTGAAGAACCCAGGGTGTATTAGAATGAAGTGTAATGCAGTTAACAGAGTCCAAGCTACATAACTTTTTTACTTGATCTCATCTATCTACACAGTAGACCTGTTGCTCTAAACCCTTCTTTAAGGACATCATTTAGAGAAAAGTGTAGTTAGTTTTAACTCTGTGATGCGTACTGTGCAATTACATCCTGCTGTTAATTCAGAGATGGGTTTTTGTGAAATTTGCTACTTTGCATGCTAGAAAGCTAAAAAGAAAGTACTGTTTAGAACTTTTCTGCCGTGGTTGTAATTATGACATATGTCCTCTTAGGAAATGGAAAAATCATTTGAAATGAAAAATATTCCTAAACCACCTACAAGAAGTTCAGCAGTAGAGAGAAGACTGCGTCGTTTGCAGGATAGATCGCACACACAACCAATTACCAGTGAGGAAGTGGTCATTGCAGCTACGTAAGTCTTGTACACATGTCAGCTCTAACTGTGGTTCCTGCTTTGAAATCTGGGAATAAGTTTCATATATGTGGTGTTTACAACTTCATAGCAAGGAAAACATTTATTGTTAAGGGCCAACTTCCTTGAGAACCACAAGGGAAACAGAAATTCCTTTTTAGAAGTAGAGGGACTAGTAAAGCATATCTTGTATGAACTGTAATTTGACAGGAAGCTTATGAACTCCTAGATTAGGTAAACGGGATTAATCATAGCATTGGTTTGTAGCTCAAATGAAAAAGATACTTTGCGCTGAGGGAAATCTGCACAATTTCTTATGGAATGTATTTGTTTTGGGGGAAACCTTTTACACTCTGAAATCTCAAATGTACTGTTTGGAAACGCGTTTCTTGCACTCTGGTCGTACATCATGAAATCTTCCTGAAAAAAGCAAAGTCATTTTGGGGGAAAATTAGACAAAGATGAACAGATATTCACCTAATAATCTACTGAAAGATAGCTTATGTTATGGGTAATGCGTAACTTCAAGAGACAACCTGATTGCTCCTCTAGGTTTTTGTTATTTCAAAGTATTTGAAATTATTTACAAAGGTTGCAGCAGATAACCGAGTTAATTAAAAATCATTGCTGTTTGGTTTTTTCTGTTTGTTTTGGTTTGGTTTTGGTCTTTTCTGTAGTTAACACTTAATGTATTGCTTTTCTTAATGCTTTTTTCTTCTCTCTCCCTGTGAATTTTCCCTCCTTGGCAATTCTTTAAAGTGAATCTACCCCTGCTTCACGTTCTATGAATACCCACACAGTAGTGACAAGAGTACCTAGTCCCACTGTAGTTAAGAGCACTGTACAACCTATCAGGTACTGGGGGGGATAAACATGCATGTTACATGGAGCACAAGATTCCTCAATAGCAGATGCATCTTTAAAGTCTTGAATGCCTTTTCAATGTGTCAAGTCAATACTCGTTTCAAGACTGTTTAAAACATTCATCAATTTCATTTATGTTTGCATGATAAAACAATGCAGCTTTTTTTTTGTTAAGCATCTGTTTTCAAAACCTTTCTAATGCCACTTACGTGTCCTAGAAGCGTATTCTTCTTTGTGAAAGAAATGAATCTGCATGTGAGCAAACCTAGCAGAACCCTCCTCTCTCTTGTTTTTGTTTTTTTTTTTTTTATATATACAGTAATGTCATCTTGAGATGAAAATACCAAAGCTGGGTGACTGATTTCACATGCAGTACATATCCTGTTTGTCTGTCTCTACATATTTTTTTTTTTACCTTGCAAAATTAAAGGGAAAGATAAGAAATTACACCACCTATAGGTAAAGTTGCAGAATACTGTTTGCCTGTTCTGAATAAGAGAATTTTAGCAGACATCAGGACAGAAGGAAAAAATAAAATTTTACTACTAATTCTGTAAAAGTGGCTGAATCTAGCTAGAGGTGAATCTAGCTATATGTGAGTAAGTTATATTATTGTAGAGACAAATGCAGTTACAGCTTTCATGAATGAATGTGCCTGCCTTCAGCATTGGTCAAACAATCTTCAAAATTCATGGAGTAAATTTCAAAACTATTTTTTCTTGTTGGGTTACCCCAGATAACTCAAAACAAGAGAGTATGAATTCTGTTCCACTTCAAATTATAAGAGACATTACAATTTATGCTAACCTAAAAGCAGCACTAACTTGGTGTTTAAATCCGTCTTTTAAATGTGTTTATCATATATGCTCCACAAATTATTTCTAATAAAACTTAATTTTGTGTAAATTGCACTGTAGGACCTGTGTTTTGTTCTACAGCAGGTATCTCAAATGTCTCTCCATAGCTCTGTATTCTGTATAAAGAGACTGGTCTGAAAAGTCTCTGTTCAATCTTGAGTTCCCCTGTTAAAATATTGTTGTGTTCTAATCAAATGAATTTGCAAATGAAAATTTAACTTTGTTTTAAATCTTCAGCTGTTAAATTAGATTTCATCATGCCAATGTTGAACCACTGCATAACCACTTAGGCTGCTATACTACGTTGGCTATTGTGCTTCACATGCAGTTCTTCTGCTTCTATCAGGTCAAGATTTTAAAAACTTCATAGCTGCTTCTTCAAAACTCATTTCCAGTTCTGTTTCTTCAGCTTGCAGGCATCAGCACACCAAAAAATTTTAGCTAAAGAGGAGATAAGAGCAGCCAAAGAGGCGATGGGGCAAGATCAGTCTGAAGAACCAGATTCTTCCACCTTAAGTTTGGCAGAAAAGATGGCTTTGTTTAACAAACTGTCTCAACCAGTATCCAGGGCCATTTCCACAAGGAGTCGAGGAGATATTAGGCATAGGAGGATGAATGCTCGTTACCAGACTCAGCCAGTCACTCTTGGAGAAGTTGAGCAGGTAAGTGCAATCTTAGGTCTTTTTCATTTGTTTCTTTTTATTAAAGAAAACAGCTTCTGTGTAAGAAGCTGTAACAGCTGACCTTTTCTTTGCTCTGAGCTACACACTGGGAGCATGACATGTTCACAGGAAAAAGCTTGTCAGGAAACAGTCTTCTGACACTGAGAAGCAGCATCCTCTAAAATGTTTGACTTCATTGGTGTGTTTTTCTTTTTATACGTAATTCAAGAGTATATCATCTTCTTGATTAGTGCATGCTGTACCGTTCACAGTGTCTGTCTTTTCCGGTAGAATATTACATGTCTTCCGAAAGTAAATTCCTGACCAAAGGGGTAAAAACAGTGACACATGTTGTGTGCTTTAGATGTATTTTCAGGGAATTTTGGAGCTTTGTCATGTGCAAATTTCAGACTCTCTCCTGAAAGCACTATATATTTCCATTATTAGTCAGGGCATATTCTGTCATTTTCCTCTGGAAGGGGGCATAGAATTTTTTTTATTTTTATTTTTTTTTTTTTAACCCTAAAAGCAGAGTACTTCTTGAAATTCATAAAATCGTGGTCAAATGAAATTACTTAATATGTGCAGTGGAACTGGGCTTCCTGTTCTGGAATCCTTCATATAATTGGACCTGCAAAGGAATGCCTTTTTAGTGAAGTCTGAGCACAAGATGGCCCAGCAGTGGTCTTTCAGAGCTAGTGTTCACAAGAGCAGAAACGTCAGGCCCTTGGTATTACAGCTTTAAAAGAAATCACTTTAACAGTGAAGCACAACTCCTATGCATGTCATATTTCTGGGGATTTGGATCAGTCTGAGTGTTAAAGTTCCTAGCTTTCTCTTTCTGTAAGATTCATTCATGATTATAATAGTAGAATAGTGAGAAGGCAGGATTTCTCTAACTATATTGATGCAAACTGTGCAGATACAGAATTGTACTTTATGCCTACTTAGGTATGAAGTAGTAGTAAAATGTTTGGCAAACTTATTTTAGCAAGATTTCCAGGCCTCACATGGTCCTTTTGCCATTCATTTTCCACATGCCAATCACTGTCACAGCCTGGCCTCTTTAATGATTGTGTCACTAACTTGTTTGGGGGCCAGGGAGGCGATCAACAGAAATGGGCTGAAGCAGATGGGAATGAAGTGACAGTCACATTATTCTGTAAAAGTCTGACAAGCTAAACTTGCTCTTCAAGCAAGGAAATGCAGAGGAACCATGTTTTGTCATCTCTTTCTGACCTAGCAAAAGAAACCAGAGTTGATTCTGAACTAAGTTCAATGGGAGCATGTTTTCAAAAAGACTCTATATAGTGAACTGTTCATTTGGAGTGTTAGAATGTTTTGAGATGCAGTTACAGTTTTTCTAGGAAGAAAGAAAAGAAAGGTATCAAAAGAGATAACCAGAGGTTACGTTACCAAAATACATAATTGCAAATGTAAATATCTTGTAATTAAAGCTGAAATCCCTTTGCTGATCTTCTTTAAATTTCTAATTCTGATAGATGCAATGGAAAAAGAATAAATTGGTAACTATCTTCTTAATCTTTCTTTGGAATCTTTGAGCTAGCATAGTAGTCTTTGCTCTGCTTTCCAATTTCTTTAATGAATTACTATGTTTTCCATGCTGTATGTAATTTGCATGTGCATTTGAAGCTTGCAGTTGATTTCCTCCTGCCAGTGTGATTTTGTCTATTCCTTTTGCTTGCTGTTCACTAGCCCTGCAGCTTAAGAAAACAACAAAAAAAGCCAAGCAAAAAACCTCTCCTACTGTGTGTGAAGGCATGTTTGTCAGTCTCTTTCATAGGTTTTCCTCTCCTTTGGAGAAGACAAAGCCAAGCTCTGCATTTTCGAAAAATTTTGCATCTTAATTGTCTCTAAGAAAACTTTATAAAATTATTATGTTAGAAGAGTGGAAAGGGTAATTGTTCCACTGTGGAGGCTGGCAAAGAAAATTTGGAGGTGTTTAATATGCTTGTTAGATTCAAATACTTTGGCTGTCATGTACATCTCTGAGCAATGTTTATATTTGAAAAAGTCTTAGACTAACAGTCCTGCCTGAAGGTGATGTATGGGGCAGAAAAATGGTTGCCCTAGGTAGGACAGCACAGAGCAGAGTCCCCTCTCTGACGCTGAGCTAGCTCCAGAGCTGGAAGCTGTGTCAGAGCAGGGCTGTGCCAAAGCTAATTAGCACTGCCGAGATGCAGAGTTGATTAGCCTGGGCACATGGCATGTCATCCGGCATCTGGAACTTCAACTAATTTCTTCCCCAGTGCTGTGCAGTACCGTGCCAGTATGAGTCTTTTCATGGAGCCCTGTCACAACGTCATGTTGCATGCTGCACATACACCGTTTATTACTAAAGATACTGCTGTTCATATGCAGTCGTTTCTTCATTTGGTGGAATAATCCATCTGCAGCCAAATTATGGGTGCATTGTTGCTTTCCTTATCTGTTTCTAGTCTGTATTTATAGAGCACTATATTCATACAGAAGCACACGTCTGAAGAACCTGAAGAACTGATGTGATTAGACTGTTTTGGTGAATTAATGATTTTGGAGCTTTTAAGTCTTCCTTTTGTTGGTGGTGGTTTTTTTGTTGTTGTTCCTAGGTACAAAATGAAAGTGGAAAAATTACTCCCCTGTCAACTGCAGTTGCAACATCAGTTTCAACGATGGCGTCTGCACTTTCTCCGTTGTATGCTGGAGACCTGCACACAAAGTCAGCTAGTGATGGAAGCGGGAGTGCTGCTGTGAGAGCTGATTTGAGGTTCCACTCTTCAGCAGAAAACTCAGACACTTCAGGAAAACGCACCCAGAAGTCAGAATTGTGGCAGCCCTCAATGGAAGTGCTAGAAAGTAAAAGAGCATCAAAGAACCATGAAGAAGAGAGAAAGAGGTTTCTAGCACATGAAGCTAATGAAATTACAAAGTACAGCTCCTTTGAGGAAGAAACCACACATCCTGTTCTTGAAAAAACAGGAGACTACCATAAAGAGACAACACACAGCTTCCTGAGGAAGGGCAGCATGGAACTGTTTAGTTCGCAAGCGCTTTTTCAGCCTCTTGAACAGAAGGAAATTGATACTGGCATGCAAGGTAAATGGGAAGTCAAAGAAGGCCAGTCCTTTGAAGAAAAGATGGATTTGGAAAGTGTTATGAAAAGCAAGACTTTGCAAAGAGGTGCAGTATATACTTCCTATTGGTATAGTCTCATTCAGCAAATGGTGATGTTTCTCTACTTTTAAACATCTTTGTTTCAATCATTATCAAGGCTGGTTATGTTAGCGTTTTTTTAACACCACTTAAAATTAGAGAAATACCTGTGAAACGTGAAGTTTTACAAATACAGTTGTTACTCTTTCAATTCTTCAGCCTTTAAAGATAGCTCAATTTTATTCAGATTTTCTTACTTTGAAAGAAGTGGTATTATACGCTGAAGCTAAGGTTTATCTTTTCCTCCTTCACATTTTTATATGCACAGCATAATTGAAACTTAGTGAGTAAATTCATCCATCTTTAAATAAAGTACTTTGGAAATCATGAGTCATTTTAGTCATTGCATAAAGTGTTCTATTTTGTGGAATTTAGAAGGATGTTGCATTAGTTTTCTGTTGTATTTTGATGGGGTACAGGACCACAGTACCTTGTAGTGCTAGAAGCACTTGTGTCTTCATCCTGTGAAGTTAGTTTATTTTTAATTTAGTGGTCTTTGAACAGGCGTAGGGAGGAAGGTATAGTTCTGCCTGTATTCCTCTAAAGCAGTGTCTGTTCTATCTAATTAACTTTTGATGACTGCAGGGGAGACAGAGACTGGGATAAAACAGGAACAGTCATGTATCAAAGGAGTGTTGTGCTTATAAAATTTCAAAAATAAAAATGAAGATCACTTATATTTCCTTATGGATAACTGTAATGGTGCATTTATCTTTCATCAAGGCAGTTTTTCCTGTGGTTTTATTGTTGCTTAAAAAAAAAAAAAAAAAAAAAAAGCCTCCAACACCCTCCTAGAAAATACCTTTATTAAGCTATTAAATGTCCTCCTAGTATGTTGCTTATGCATTAAACTGCTTTACCAGTAAGTTATTATTATGTTCTTATTTAAATTTTGTCTGCTTCTCTTCCCCTTCTCTTTGCTCCCCTCTCACTTTCATCTGTCCATTTGTTTTCTTGTTAGCGTGATGACAGGTGCAGTTTGTACCTCATCCATATGAAGTTCAGAACTGTGTATTGAACATGAAACTCTGTGGCTTCATGTGAACTTCAGTCACAAATGGCCAGTCTATGCAGCATGATTAATCTTTGTACTCTAGCTCAGCCAGAAGTTTTTTCTCTGTTAGGACAGCGTGTGTTTTAAATGTTATAAACTAGATTTGCTGCTTCAGTATTAGTAATGTAAAACATGTTTGAGAACAGCACTAAGTCTAATTCAGCACTTCTCTTTTGAATGGGCAGACCATGCTGAGCCTACTTCTGAACTCACCAGCATATCAGCAATGAGGACAGTTTCACAAACTGCAGCTCCAGCATCCTGTAGACTGCAGGAGCTCTCTGAACAATTGGAAGGCAAATTTTATAAGAATTCCTGTGAGATGTTTTCTGTTGCAGAGAATAGAGCACAGTCAACTGAGGATGTCCTTGATAATTCCAGCAAAACGATGTCAATTAAAGAAAGGTACTTACATTTCACTTTTTTTAAAATGATCTCTATAAATACAGTTATTAGACTGATGGTATAAAAAGAAGCTTCTAAACCTGTTTCTGAAAAAGCTAAGCAGTGATTATTAGGCTTTATTAGATGTCGAATGCTAACAGAAGAAACATGCAGCTAATCTGCCTGACATGCTTGTAAAAGCAGATGATGGTGAATGAGAATTACTGTTCAAGAGAACATGATAATCTGATTTTGAAAGAGCCACCTGAATAATCAATAAGTAGTTCAGAAAATGAAAGTTGTAAAAATAGGTGTTCTAGCTGCATTTATACTGATATGCTCAGTATAATTCCCCAGGTTCTGCTTTCAGTTACAATAGGTATAATGCGATTATTTTTTTTTTTAATAGCCATTTTTTTGTTGGTCTGTGGAAGACTTTTTTGAAATAAGCTGAGTACAGGTACTCAGCAATAGACTCTGTGATGTTTCCCTGTCTTACTTCAGAAATACATGGTTGCCATTTTGACTTCAGAGAACTTACTGCAGGGACCTTAAAAGGGTAAGAATTTAGACAAGTTTGTGGGAGTATTAGAAGTATTTGTTCCAACCCAAGATCATCCTGATCTGAAACAAAATGTTAAGTGTTCTGCACTTGTGCGGGCAGTAGGACTTCATGGCTGGAGCTCCACCAGGTGCTGTAGTACTTGTAAAAGTCATTGTAATTCAGTTAAAACTTTGAGAGTATGAACTCAGCCTCAAACTGTAAAAGTAGTCCAGTGAGTAAAATTACAATTATTTTCTTCAGGTTGACAAATAGGCCTATTTTTACTTCAGTTTTTCTGCAGTGAAAGAAGAAACGATGAATAAAAATAGCTATTTGATTAAACTTTCACTGTGTAAAAATATTCCCTCACTTGGTGAGGTGGATGTGATACTAGGAACTCCAAACCATTTTAATTTTTTTTAAACATGTTTACAAAGCGTGCTTCTTAATTTCATATATTTCTAGGAGGTGCGAGTCATCCTCATTTATAGAGCATCCCCTCTCCCTGTTATCCCCTTAACATAAAGAGGGAGTGCAGGGACAGCTACAACAGCTGTGCAGCCTTAGTCCCACTTCTGAAGGATGTACTTACCTTTGTCAGTTTACTGCTGTGTTGTTTAAACCAGCTTTCACCCCCATCGTCCCCCTTGTCAACTGTCGGAGCAGTCTGACCAGTCACTTCTGGTTTATAGGTGGTAAATGATCTGCCTTCTCTGATCCTGGTGGGAAAAGAGAGGATGGAGGGAGGGGACGATACAAGGTTTAGGAGCTGTTACAGTCTTAAATTCAGTGCTTTGGTTGAGTTGCTCTCTTGAGGAACTGATGTTAAAGACTGTCAGTCACCCTGACAATCTGGAATTGCTTTCGTTAGGCCTCCAAGACTGTCAAGTCAGTCCCAAAGCTGACAAAAGAAAATACCTGCTGTCTTGTCAGGAATTTGTACATTCTGATTGCACAAACATCTGTAAATGGCAGAGCTGGTATAAAAATGTTTTAGTCTTCCAGAATACCACAGTAGTCTACTTCTTGGCCCAGAATTAAAAAACTGCAACCAGTCATTTTCTTTTGCTTGGCTATGGCTGATGCCAAGTATTCATAAACCTCAAAGAACATTTCTGCTACAGATTAACTATTACACTTTGGATTTTTTTTTTCCCTTTTACATTCACTAACTTCATCTTCCCATCCAGTGGATTTTTCTGGCTGTGTCAGACATTCTTTCACCTTATGGAAGAACAGCTTTTCCGCACATGTAATGATACTTGAGCAGGATGCATGCATGCTGTTCTGGATGAAAGTCATTTTCCACAAAGACTTAATTCACTGAACTAATTCACTGTCCTGGTGGAGTGAGTGCATGCCTGGCATTTTCAGAATTACCTGTATTGTATGGAAGAATGAAAATCATGATTTTCCAAGGAAGAAATGAAACCTATCCTATCTTCTTCTGCAAACATGAAGTCTGGAGGTGAGAGGGAGCAAAGGCTCATATCTTTGAGCAGTTTTGACTGTGTTTTGTTGTAGGCAGCCAGTGCCAATCCACTGATGCGTTATATATGAGTGGTGGAAACCTTTTTTTAATTGTCTTGCCTTCAGGAAGAGGAATGTCTTGGAGGACTTCGAATGAAGCATCAGTTGCATGTAACTACCCGTCTTTGTGCATTTAGGGCGGCTTTCTAGCAGCTTTGGTCTCCATATCAGCTCCGCATTAGAAGTCAGCTGCATGTCATGATCACCATTTAAAGAAAACTACAGATAACTCTAATTTCTGGTGGACCTCTTACCATCATTCATTCCTTCTCAGAAAGACCCCAGCTTAAGCTTAATTTTCAACCTTTTTTGGTGTATGGACACCAGTGCAAGCCTTACTTACGCAGACTAGTCCCCACTATAGTGAATTCACACACTCTTTAACAGCCAGCTTCCTCTTTGTAGTTACTTATATTGGCCTCTGGGATTTATGGTTTAGCTGAAAAGAACTGCTCAAGTGCAGCCGATGGAGTATGTGTGAAAGCCAAGCCTGTGTCCAGTTTAATCTGTCTAAAGCATAACGCTAGCAGCTAAGATACTAAAATATTGTCACAGAAGAAAGTTGTGTCATTTTCGACATTTTTTGCCAGGACTTCTGCCAAGGCCTTTCATACAATGCTCCTTGTTTAGGCAAAACTAGTGTTCAAATCTTGTTTCTATTTCTCTTCAGCATTCATCCAACATTTTGCCTTCAGCTGTGAAAGCTTTTGCTTTGAACCCAGCCTGACACCACTGGGATGATGATCATTCTGTCTTGATGGCAGATATTCTGTCTCGGTAGCAGGTGAAAGAAGGACACAGAGCAAGCTGTCAAAGATGGGCAGATATATAAAAAGCTTTTCTTTCAGGAAAAGAGTAAAACTGATTTTTTTCAAATTGGAAAAGGAACTTCTGGAGGCAAAAGCAGTATGAATAGAACTGTGAAAGTGAATAATGAATGATTATTCATTATTTATCAAAAGTGGAAAACTAGAGATGTGCAATGGAACTAGCAGCCAGCAGGCTTTGAACAAATCCAAGGGTTAGACCAAATAATTGCCTTATTTTTTGCAGAATTTCCAAAGAATCAGTTGCTGTCTACTTTGAGTTAAGCTACTGAGCTGGTCAGTTTGCTTGTGTGAAGCAATTCAGTAGTTCTTGCACCTTTATTCATACAGAAGTGTGCCCTCCAATTGTTGCTGAGTCAGGGCAGTCTGAGTTCATTGCTATTTCCATCATTTGAAACAAACACATTGGCTTTAGGTTTTATACAGCAGTGGAGATTTCAATGGCATACTGGGCATACCTGTTTCTTTAAGTGGTGATTTGTTGCTCAACACAGACAAACGTGTGCTCTCACTGTAGCAACGAGTTGCTTCATTACATATACAAACAAAGAGTGGAGGGCTAGTATGAATCCATCCTTACGACAGCAAACGTCTCCAGAGGCACAGAAGAATTCTCAGAATTATAGATTTTCTCTTCCTGATCAACTAAGCTGTTTGGGGCAAAATTCTAGGGCAAATACCCTGCAGTAATGTCAGGTTAAAAAAAAATATTTTTTTTTTATGCCTGCTATGTGGAGCAGCTATAGACATTTATAAAAACAAACACATCTTAGGCCAAAGCTGGCCAAAATGTCTTCCAGCTTCCATTATCGCAGATCATTTCTAAGCAAAGCTGAACTGAGACAACGTAAGTACTGAAGATAATTCAACTGCATGGTGGCCATTCAGTCCCATCTTGGTCTCCTCCACAGTTTCACACATGCATGGATGCACTCCAGAAGATTAGTTCTGGGCAGTGAAATGTTGTATATGGTTTGGAAACAATGACCATGGCCTCAATTCCTTATTGTGAGTCCTTCTCACCCCTACTCATGCCATGCTGTGAGGTATGAAGCAACCAGGCAGTGTAAAGCCTGCAAGCGCTGCCTGCCTGGGCAGGAAGAGAGGAAATAACTGCTTTCCTGAATACTAACATTCTGACTGTCATTGTATTCTGTGGATTTACTGTTTTCTGCATTCTCAGTTTTTCTCAAATGACTGCCTTAGGACCAATGGGTCATTCTTGGATAGGTCAGTAGGATGGGTGCACCCCCTGGATTTTTGCAGGAAGCAGCTGTCTGAAACTTGGCTTCTGGCTAGACCTATCCAGTCCTGCCCCTTCCTTCTCAGAGTTTCAGGACAGGACTTGCTGTGAGGGTAACAGTACTTGCATCTCTAAAAAGGAATGGCCATATCTTGTGGTCAAAATAGGTTGCCAACACTTTAACTACTGAACCTGTTCAAATGTTAATAGGATTAAAAGTTTTATATAATCCTTACTGAAATGCTCTAGGTTAGAGAAAGTTATGTAGTACAACTTAATTCAACTAAAATAAAAATTTAGTGGACAGATGAAACTGTTTGCACACATACTGCGGGTATACATTTTATGGAGTACAAAGAATGATTTCTGAAAGCTAGAAAATTAATACAAATATTAATTCCTGAGGAAGGTAAGCAGAAGATCGTGCCTGTGTAGACCTCATATTCCTGACTTCCCCTACCCCTAAAAGTAAATCATCTCAAGGTTTGTATGGACATACAGATTCTAATTCTAGCAAAATAACTCTACATGCTGTTCCCACCAGAGCCAGTGAGTGTCCCTTTGTGCTATATTCAGAATTTTGCTCAAGATTAGGAAATAGCACTTTTAAAATATCCGACTTACCTGAGATTAATAGTAATCCACTTTTTAAATGTAACACATCATTTAAACAAGTTGAATCTTGCAGATGGATTTCACAGGTATATTATAGTTAGCACTAGTGCATTGGTACTGCTGATTTGTCACAGCAGTGCCTGAGCTAAGCAAGGAGGTACGGAGTGATCCTTAGGAGTCTGGTAGTAACCTTAGTCATTGGAGGTGTAGTCAAAGCAGTAACTGCAGAGTTGTCATTTAATGTGCCGGATGAGACCTGATTGGTAGGTGCCTGCTGAATAGACATCTTTCTTCTTCAGTTTTAAAGAAAATGTTTTTTTAAATCTTTTTTATTGAGTACAATAAAGACCAAAGGTAGGATTCATCTTAGTAACTGTGGACATCTACAGCATGAGCATCCATAGCTGAGCTAGTCACTCTTTGTGTCTTATCAACAGAAGGGAAGGAAAAAAGCCGTGATTAATCTAACCTATTTATATGTCTACTTTAGGATGATCTGCACTGTACCTTGATCTCCTTGACTGTATTGGCAATTTCCAATGGCTATACAAATTAACTGGGGTGCCTATCTCAGATCTAGATGTCTGTGTTTTGACAGATGATTCCCATTCAACATGTTCAGTAAAGGCTTGGTGTTTGTTTGTGGGCTTTGTATATGTGTAAGAAATGTAAATAACTATAGTTAATTTTAGAAAACTTAATTGTAAATTCTCTTGAATGCAGCGTTAGTGAAACAATAAGGATAGCTTTTCAGAATAACAGGAAGTACAGTGTCTGAAACTACCTGTTGGCGTGGTTTTTCTTCTAGGTTGGCATTGCTGAAGAAGAGTGGTGAAGAAGATTGGAAGAGCAGGCTTGGCAAAAAGCAGGAGTATGCAAAAGTGTCTGTTACTGATCGTAGCGCGCAGATGCAAGAAGTTGAGCAGCTGTTGAAGAAGGTAATTCTATCCTTGTTTGGAAAAAACAACTTGCTTGAAATGCTTCAGCTTTTTGAAGATGCATCCGACTAGACAGGCATGCCTAATATTAGTTACTAGCTCCTGCTATTCAGCTTGTTGTCACTATTGTTTAAAAAAACAATTCTCCCAACATGAGAGCTCTTTAAATGAGAATGTCTTCACTGTCTTGGGACCTACAATATTGTTTACAGTGTCTACTTCAGCACATTATGAACCAGTAAGTGTGCCTGTAAGGCTTCTGGAACGTTTAAAAGTGTAATGATTTAAGCTGTGCATATGCTTTTTTTTTGAGCAGTAATTTTGGGTGCTAGAAACACTGAGAAAATACAGGTACCAGAGCATTCATGAGCCATTTGGCTTTTGGTTATCTTGCATGATCTTTGGTGTTTGTGGATAGCCAAAACCACCTGGACAAGGATTTTATCTGTCTCCATCAGTGCTAGAGAAAAGAGTGGGAAATGGGTAGAAAGGTGTAGAAGAAAGGGAAGTCCCCATTGTTAGTGCATTCTGGCTATGTTTATACATGAGCAAGTTTTGTTGCCCAGCAGGAGTGGATCTCTAAAGCAGAACAATTACTGATGAGGACCTGCTATCCATGCAGTACTCACTTGTTTTGCTTCAGGCTAAACTTGGTCTGCTCCTGTGACCTGCCTGCCTATTAACAGCCATGGTGCTACATGGGAATCCGGGAAAGCGCTGCAGGGCTTAGTTTCATCCGAAAGTCTGTGCGTTTGGCCACGTGAACCAAAGCACAGAAAGTGAAGGTGACTGGGAGATTTGCGTCAAAACAGACTGCTGGTTCAAACTGCAGGTTTTGCTTCCATTCTGAGTCTAGGATTTTGAAAATGGCAGTGTCAGATTAAAGAGGAAGTTTCAAAAGCCTTTAATTTTTGAAGGAGTATTTTGCAAAGAGGACAAGTAAAGGTAAAATTAGTGTTATGAATTTTACTAGTGGGGATAGTAATCTTTGGATCCAATTTTTTAGGTGTGAAAATGCTGCTTCTATTAAATAGTGTAGGCAAACAATAAGTCTCCTGTTCCATCAATACATTACAAGTAAGGAGCTGTTACAGAGTCTGACATTATTGAGGATGAGTCTGTGCCTGAACATATGCCTCATCAATGGCTGTGTGTTAACTGGACAGAAAAACAAGAAAGCTGATTTTTTGTAGTTTAGTTTATGGGTTTTGTTTTGGTTTTGCCCTGTGGACTTGCTCAAAAATCCAGTTGCTTGTTTGAAAGATATCCTAAAGCAAAAATCATTTCAGTGAGGAAAGCAAAATTGCGGTCACATTTGTAACAGGCTGGTCTCCAAAATGACAACTGTTGAGATCAGATAACAAATGTACTCCAGATAAAGACAATGGGGTTGAGAAAAAGCTTTAAACAGCTGCCAAGATTCAGGCTGAGACAAAACCTTTGTTCTCCCTTCTCCCTCCCCAGCACCCATATCCTCCCTGCTGCATTAACATGTGCAGCAACTTCACTCAGCATAGCATAAGTTAGGCTTTTAAAGCAAGTAAGCGAGCATGAAGTGCTTAAAGGGTACAATCTTTGATGTGATAATGCTAGCAGTGGGAGTTTCTGTGACACTGGGTCACCCACTCTGTTGGTTTGTGTTAGCTCTTGGCTATTAAGAGCCTAAATCAAAGGATTTGCATGTCTGCCGATGGATGAAATCTTGGATGTGTAAGAAAAAATGTTAGTCTTACTAGATATAGAGCTCCTTGAACTGTATTAATATTTGTGATGCCGATTCATTATGTGATACATGATAAGTAATGTAAAGCTTCACGAAGCTGACCACGCTGCTTACAACACACCATGTCAGCTGCCCTTAAATCTGGAAATACTATTATTGATAATTAATCAATGCAATGGCTTTTATCCTTTGAAGACCATGAAGCAGTGTGCAACTGAAGTCTCTCTTTATAGAAGAGCTTTGAGACTACAATGTACTTAAGAATCTTAGTGCTTTCTGTTGCTGGATTGAAATAAAGTGCAGAAATTGTATTGATTGCTGTGTTTTAGGCTAGTTAAAATACAATTTCCACACATGGCAGTCATGCATCAACAGCAAGGGTGTGTAAACTTCTGTCATGCCCTGCTGGTTCAAAATAATGCCTGAAGGTTTTAGTTGCGATATGTCACTCCTGTTAATAAACCTAGACACCTTTTTAGGTTTTCTTTTGTGTGTGTGTGTATTTTAAAAGGTTATCTAACTTGTGCTGGAGAGTTGAGTACTGAAGTATAGCTGTATAAAATAGAAGTTATTAGAGTAAATTTAGATTTCTTATAAACAACAGAAGTTGAAAGACTCGTACTCTTAATAAAATAGTTACATTAAATAGTGTTGTTTGTTCACTTACAGTCAAAATGCTTCTGCAGAGTTGTCTGCGTGGTGAGATATTTCTCCAAATGTGTTATAGTCTTTTATATGTAGTCCAAGCTGCAGAAAAGCTATAAAATCCATGGAAAAGCTGACAGAGCAACCTCAAGTGGAGAAAAAAAGAGAATAAGGAATTAACTCAAGGAGATACAGATGAGGGAGGAAGTTGAGATTTACTTGGAGGTCCAGCATCTGTTTTGATGATTGCTGCACAGAGGAGGAATATTTCTTGGAAGCTGTGAGACTTCTTAAATTATTTATATGTGTGGTAAAACATACTTGGACAATTGAAAGAATAGCTCTAACATCAGGGGAACAACTGTACACTGAGGAATATCTTAATGGAAAAAGAAATCCCTTTTGTTTGGGAAAAATATTTTTAGTTTTGTATATTTCTATTCACCATCTTAGGCTGGATGGAAGACTTACAGATTGTTGTTTTTTTTCATGGGTAGAAAAATTAACCAACTTTAAAATCTTTCCTTAGTATCAAAGTAACAAGATTTACTGGAGAGAAAATTCCTATTTTATAGTCAGCCATTTTTAAGAGTCCCTGATTAATGTCATTACCAGCTGCATTGCAGTTGCATTAAAGCAGTGAATGACATTTGAAATGCACTTAATTCTTATAGCAAGTTCAAACTGCAGCTCAGTACTGGTGTTAAAGGCTAGGGCTGAATAGTCAATTCAAAATTACTCAGAGATGAAGTGTGTAAAAAATCTTGAAGGGGGTAAGCCCTTAAAAAGTGACCTTTAGGCAAGATATTAGTCTCTTGCTGTGGTAATGGTTTTATCCATTTCATATATGGCATCCACCAAGTGCTCATATCAAGTTCTTATCAAAGCTGAAACTCTAATGATCAGGCTTCATTTTGAGCCACTCTAACGAGCTGCATTTACCAATATTCCACATTTGCTTTAACCTGTAGAAAGGAAGAAGAATTACAGATGATAAAGCCATGAATAATCAGCTTTAGGTAAGCCCAGCTCTGAGGCAGCATTTATTTGTCGGCTTTGTTTAGAATGGTGAATTCACCTTCCGCAGAGTGCTGTGGGCTGAGCAATTCCCTCCAGATGGCTTTTGAGTATCCCAGTTCTAGTAAGCATTCCTTCCTTTCATCCAGAAAATAGATGGCTTGTTGTTTAGCAGGGTCTGATTGAACTTGCAGCAGAATTATTCACATTGTGGTTGACATGGTTCATCAATTTAATGGTGCATGAACACAGAGACATAAAAATTATCAGCATATGAAAAGAGTATATTCTGGCTGTGCTGTTTTGTTCTGTGTTGAGTTGTAGCGATATTGTTACTAACTTGCTTAACTCCTGCATGGAATGGCTTTGGTAAACATGCTGTTATATCATGGCTCTCCAATAGGGAAAACATTTCTAGAAGATTAAAAGGTTCAGATTTACTTCATTTTAAGAAATTAGGGAAAGGTGAATTATTTCCCCCCATCTCCATTTCTGATAGGCCAGTTCCTTTCTAATTCCTTTGCTTTGCTTCTGTCCCTGTCATAGGAACCTGTATTTGCTTCTGCTTACTCTCCAGTTATACCCGCTCTCCATAAATTTCATCCTTTTCTACCTATTAATCAGGTGAGCAAAAGTCTGCACAATTTAAATGCTCAATAATTTCAAGTAAGCACATCTTGACAGTTTTTTTTCAATAGGAAATTAATAATCCTCTTAACTGATTAACCAGCTTAGTAAATACTGCTTTAAAGAAACACAGTGTTATGCCATTATGCTGGCTACTCTTCTTCTATACACATTTTGCTAGTGTTTTTCTTATGGTTGCTTTTCTAAATACTCTGTATCTGTTAGACTATATAGGTGAGAAAGTAAGTGAAGGAGACATTATTGCATTCATTATAACACTGAAAACTTGCAAGTTGTTGAAAAGCGTATATCAAAGGAGCAAGTTGTAACTGCACAGAATTTATTTTAGAATAAAATGCTGTGTACCCGGACTTCTCTGTAACTAGTGCGCATATACAATGTTAAGACATAACATCATCTAATTTATTGACTGTAAAAACTAAGCTGCCTTTGTTCAGAGGTGACTTTCCTATAATGCTTTTCCCTTGCCTTGGCACATCCTTCTTTTATTCTCTGACTGTCCCATCTTCCTGCTTCTCTCTCTCTTTCTTCTTTTAAGGTCTGTAGTACTAGTTTGAAAGAACCAAACTCTCTGATTTCTGATGAACATCATCCTTGGAGATGGAAGGTGAAATGCTGTACAAACTTCCTGTGTAATTACTGGAGGGAGGAGTAAGACAAAAAATTACATTCAAATCCAAGATGCACATTCCCAAAAGCAACTTGTGACAACAGAGTTAACTTTGTCTTTGTTTGGGAATAGAGTTCTGCTGCGGTTCCAGTAAATGTTAGAAAAGCTGCGTGTGAAATGCTCCTCAAAATTATGTCCGTAATTCTGCAATTCCATCATAACAATTTGAAGAACTTACTTATGATTTAATAGAATCAAGAATTATATGAATTACTAGATAATAAGAAATACAAACTTTCTTCAGCTAGAGCTACATTACAAAGTTGTCTTTGAGCAGAAGTAGAATCCTGGATCTCA